CGTCGAGCTCCCTCACGGTACTCACGGGGAACCCAATCAGGTCTGTCAACTACTAAAATCGCTTTACGGTATCAAATAGGCCCCACGACTGTGGCAACAGCACCTACACACCCGCCTCATCCGCATCGGATTCCGTCAACTACCTCACGATCAAGGCATGTATCGACTCACCAAAGGCGCCAACTACATCCTGCTCATTGTCTACGTCGACGATCTACTCTACCTCGGCTCTACCGACGACATCGCTACCTGGTTCGAAGGGGAGCTGAAAAAGGACCTCACACTCACGGTCTCCACTACCGTCACTCAGAATCTCAGGCTCAACATTCGCGAAGAAGAAAATGCGATCTATCTCAGCGCCGAGAAGTACGCCGACACCATCGCCAAACGGTTCGCACTCACACCTGCTACTATCCACACGCCATACCGCTACACGGCAAGAAACGGCAAAGGAAGCTCCGTCCTACTTAAGACCGCCGGAATACGCGACTACCAGCGAAAACTGGGCTGTCTGCTCTTCGCAGCCGTCACCTGCCGCCCAGACCTGTCCTACTCCGCTAGCCAACTCGCTACCTATCTCAAGAGGCCCGAAGCAGAACACCTAGCAGAACTCGACCGTGCTCTTCACTACTTCGTGAGCACCGCAGCGATCGGCCTGACGTACTACAAAGACACAACTACGCCGACGAAACTAATCGGCTATGTCGATGCCGATCACGCCGGCGACTCAGATAACAGGCGTTCTCGCACTGGCTACATCTATCGCCTAGAACCTATCGGACCTATTTCCTGGCAATCGAGCAAGCAGGAACTAATTGCGCTCTCCTCAGCTGAAGCAGAATATATCGCCTTTTGCTCAGCCACCAGGGAAGGACTCTACCTTCGCGAGCTGCTGGAAGAAGCAAAGTTAGCCGAGTTACCCAACTTCACCTTGTTCTGCGACAACCAATCCGCAATTCGCATCGCCAACAAGAGCGGATTCGCTAACAGAACGAAGCATATCGCCCTGCGATACTTCTTCGTGAAAGAAGAAATCGAGAAAGGGAAACTCGATCTATCCTACTGACCCACGTCCGAGATGGCAGCCGACTACTTGACCAAGAAACTTGGGAAACAGAAGTTTGAGTACTGCATGCTGCTGACTGGACAAAGCCACGTCACCATCAGCGACACTCCAGAAGCAAAGGGGAGTGTTGGGAACAAATAAGTTAAGCGCCTCTGTCGTGTCAGTACTCAAGACACAAAACGAAGCAGCTCAAGTCGAAGCAGCGCGAGTCAACCAACGAGGTTAACGTAACCGTCGGAGGTTACGGGAAAGTCAAAGGGCAGCGACCTTTGACCTGACGCAGCGCGACAGCAAGGACAAACAACTGACTCGACATTGAGCAGTTGCCCGAGTCGCACTGTATCGAACCGCAACAGTAAAATTAGTTATAATGTCTCTTCATATTCTCTGTACTCATCTATTTATATTCTTGTATCTCTTTGCTTTTATCAACTTACTTTGCCCTCACATACTAGCGCAAGGTGGTTCAAGAGCTTTATTCAACGCTTCCGCTATTACAACATCTACTCAGACTTCAACTCTACAAAGATCCTAGGGCGTTTCAGCCCAACAAATTGTGTACTAGTCTGACGAATCAGACAGGCCAAAAACGAATCTGAGGGCCAGCACGTGGCATATTCGAGTGGGCAATTTTGGCACTTGGTAAAAACAAAGCCAATTGCGTGGCGAGGGTTCATGCAACCGCCGAGGCCAGAATCGCGCACGGTGGTGCGTTCTTACTGCACCAGTCACTTCTTGACTGGTTTGGTCACGTGTCTGTGCCTCATGTGACCTATTGGGCCACTTGCAGCAGAAGATTCGCCAGTGTGGCGACAGCGAGATTGTGGGAGGGGGGAAATCTTGGCAGATAAGTGAAAGTACACACGAAAATTCACCTAGGGAGCAATTTGTCAGAATGAGGAATGATGATGCCATTGATGTTGGTTGGGGTACATATAACAAACCCTAACTTCTGTACCCCCTAAGACAAACCTCACTACAGGCTACAACATTTGACACACCCCCATAGCCTAAGTGAGGGGTGTCTAGCAAAATAAAAAAGAGTACGGTCACAAGACCAGTCCAAAAGAAAACAAAGCTCAGGGTGGATCACAACGTCACCACACTCTCTGAGCACAAGCAACAGTGGCCACAAGGCCAGTCCAAGAGATCACAAGTATATATAGCAAGAGTACAGACGAAGCAGGCAATAAACTCAAGCCTACACATGACTAGAACCTGTGTCAACAAGGCCTAACTGCACACAACACCTCCGGTGGTCACGAGGCGGAAGCGCCTTGGTGAAGATGTCTGCAGTGTTGGCCTCGGACTCCACAAACTCGAAGCGAGCCTGTCCACGTCTCTGCAACTCTCGCAGAAGAAAGTACCTGATGTGAATGTGCTTCACTCTGCTCTCCAGTCGCGGCTCACGACAAAGGAGGATCGACGCCTTGTTGTCAGTGAACAAGGTCGGTGCAGAGCTCGGCCGCTCACCAAGGTCGGCGAGCAAGAAGGTCAACCAACGCAACTCCTGTGCCGCCATGGCACCAGCGTAAATCTCAGCCTCAGCTGTAGAGGTTGAGACAGAAGAGGAGCACGTGGAACGCCAGGAAACAGCTCCAGAACCCAGACTGAAACAGTACCCCTGAGTAGACCTGTGAGTCTCAGCGTCGTCAGCGTAAGAGGAGTCACAGTGACCAGTGAGTACGACAGACTGCTGCCCTCCAAGAACTAGCCCCACGCCTGATGTAGTCGCTAGGTACTTCGCCACCCTCACAGCTGCCGTCCAGTGAACAGGACGGTGTCTCCCTGGCGCAACAAAGCGCGCAAGGATGCTGAGAGGGAAGGCGAGGTCCGGGCGAGTACAAGTCATCAGGTACATGAGGCAACCCACAAGCTCTGCGTAGGGACCACTAGGCTCAAACGGCTCGTCAGGAAAGGGACCAGTGAGTCTGTGGTCAACAGCGAGAGGTGTGCGCTGTACGGTGGAGTGCTGAAGCCCGAACCGCTGAAGGACCTGCTGCACCATGTGTGACTGTGAGAGTGTAATGGTGCGAGCGGCTCTGTCCCTGGTGATCTGCAGGCCAAGGTAGTGGCGCAGCTCACCAAGATCAGTGCACGTGTGTCTCTTCTGCAGTTCGGACTTCACGTCTGCCAAAGCAACCCTGTCCGGAGTGGCGAAAACGAGGTCGTCGACGTAAACCAGAACAAAGAACGGTGTGGAGCCACGACGAACGAACAGCGACGGGTCGGCAGAAGACGGCTGGAACCCAAGGTCAGAGAGGGTAGAACGCAGAGTGTCGTGCCACTCACGAGGGGCCTGGCGAAGACCGTAAACAGGTCGCCTCAGCCTCCACTGGGTCCCAGGAGGGAAGGTGCCAGTGAAGGCCGAGGGACGACGCAACCAGACCTCCTCGTGTAGGCTGCCCTGAAGGAAAGCAGTGGAGAAGTCGAGAGAGTGTAACTCGTAGTCTCTCTGTGCTGCTACGTGTAGTAACACCCGAAGAGTGGTCATCTTCGGGGTAGGTGCGAAGGTCTGAAAGAAGTCAACTCCCTCGCGCTGACTGAAACCTCTAGCCACGTAGCGCGCCTTGAAGACCGGGGGAGATCCCGGTGGCCGCTTCACCCTGTAGATCCACATGCCGTCGACTACGTTCGCCCCAGGGGGGGGAACCTCATCGACGTAGGTGCCTGTGGATCTGTAGGAGGCCATCTCTGCGTCCATGGCAGCTCTCCACTGAGAGGCCCAAGGCCCTGACACTGCCTCAGCGTAAGTGCGAGGAGTCGGAATGTCAAGGGCGTCGGGGTCACCCTCAGGGGCGAGGAGCATGGCACAGAGATGAGGGGAAGCGGCCGCCAGGAACTCTAGCTCAAACTGCCTGTCCTCTAGGGCGTCACAGCCAAGGGCAGACACACCCCCGACGGCCAGAGGACTGGTAGGAGGAGCAGCCACAAGCGTGGTGGCGTAGTCAAGGCGGCGGGTAGAGGCAAAGTCAGTAACTGCGGCAGTAAGAGCGGACACAGAGGACACAGAGGCACGAGGGTGAGTAACAAGAGAGGCGAGAACACGAGAGAGAACAGGACGGTACGTGCGGTAGTAGTCAGTGACAGGAGTAGGGAGCGACACAGTGAGGGCCGACTCAGGAGGAGACGGAAGCACAGACTGAGACGGACGAGGTGGACTAGAAAGAAGGAAGGCAGTACGAAGGTCAGTGAAGGGAACAGGAGACGAGGGAGGAGCACGAGGGGAGCGACGAGTAGCCCAAGAACGAGACGGAGGAGGAGAGGACAAAGGCGGAGAACTGGGGAAAACAGCGGGGGAGGAGTCAGGAGGAGGAAACGTGGGACCGTAGACAGGAGGAGAGGCGGAGGAGGGAGGAGAAGGGGAGGGGAGACCAAGGGTCCGAAGACCCGAGACAAGAGGAGGAAGCGGCTGCTGCTGCTGCTACTGCGACTGCTGCTGCTGCGGAAGCGGCTGCTGCTGGGACTGCTGCTCCTGCGGGTCCAGCTGCTGCTCCTCCAGCCGCTGTAACTCCCTCTCCTCTCTCTCCAACGCCAGCTGCTCGTCACGGGCACGGCGAACACGAGCCTGGTGCCTAGTCGGGTAGGGGTGGGGGGGCGGAGTAGTGTCCGAAGCAGCGGTAGCTCCAGAGTCCACCCCCGAAGAACCAGGCGCACCACCCCCAGAGGCAGCACTAACACCAGCTCCAGACCCAGGCTCGCCAGAACCCGAAGGAGGCGCACTCTCACCCCCAGTGTCCGCCCGACCAGCACCAGCTCCCGGATGACAAGAGTCCTCTGCACCCACCGGGTCAGCTCCAACTCCAGAACCAGAAACTCCAGCTCCAACCCCACCACGCCCAGAACCAGAAACCGGTACAGGAACAGGCGCAGCACCAACCTCTCGAGAGCTAGCACCTGCGGCACGCTGCGAGGAGGACTGTGGGGAGGGAGGCTATACCGGAGAGGCTACCGAAGGAGGAGGGGTAGCCTGGGACACACCCGACGGGGCTGGACCAGGGGGGGGAGGCTGTACCGGGGGAACAGGAGGGGGAGCGGCAGTCAGGAAGAGGGGGGGAGGAGGAACCTGGAGACCTCGACTGGGGTACCTGACGTAGTACGGAGTGGACTCCTCGAAACGGACGTCACGGGAGTCAAAGAACCGGTGAGAGGGAGGGTGGTAAAAGGTGAAGTCAGAGGAGTCCTCAGGGAAATCAAGGAAGACAGAGGGGACGGCACGAGGCGAGAGCTTGTCCGCGGAGGTGTCGCGGACAAGGGCCAAGCACCCCCAGACACGAAACCGCGACGCAACACCAGGGGACCCTGTCCAAAGACTGGTCGGTGAAACCTCTGGTCGAGAGACACGTGGCCAGAGGTTCAGCTGGTGCGCGGCGTACCTGACCGCGTAGGGCCACAGAAAATGGGGGGCATAGGCGTGAGTCAGGGAGGTGCGGGCGATCTCCATGACCAGGCCTATGCGGCGCTCAGCAACCCCATTCTGCTGTGGGGACTCTGGAAGCGTCCAGGACTGACGAATGCCCTGCTCGCGACAGAATCCAGCGAGAATGCCGGAGCGAAACTCACCCCCACGGTCGGAGTGGAGGCAGCTGACACAACGACCACGAGTGTCCTCGGTGGTGAGCAACCACCTGATCAGCGTAGAAGTCACCTCAGACTTCTTCGCCAGAGGGAACACTGTGGTGTAGCGGGAGAAGTCGTCAACGACCACCAGAAAGTAGCGCTCACGCTCAGGGCCTAGACGAGGGGCGGGGCCCCAGACGTCCAAGTGAAGCGTCTCAAAAGGCTCGGTGGCCGGACGAAGGGAGGAGGAGTGAGGGGCGGCGCGCAGCCGACCCTCAACGCAGGGACCACACGGCGGCGCAAGCGAAGGCGGCAGCGACGGCAAGACACGTGGGAGGCCTAGGACAAGACGCTGACTAGACATAGCGCGCAGACGAGGAAGGGACGGGTGCCCCATCCGGTGGTGCCACAGAACGGTGGGGTGGGCAAGCGACCGGCAGGAGCACGACGCAGGGACTGGAGCAGACGTAGGAACCTGACACGACACAGACACCTGGGGGGACGAAGCAACCTGGTGAGACGCGGGGACCCGAACGGGGGGGGGAACCGGGGGCAGTGGCGGTAGGGGCGGCTGCTGGTGCGACCGCTGGTGCAGCTGCTGCTGCTGCTGCTGCGGCTGCGGCTGCTGCTGCTGCTGCGGCTGCTGCTGCGGCGCGCACGCGGGCCAGTGTGAAGAGTGTAGAGACCTGAGCCCGGCTCAGCAGTAAAGGTAGCAAGAGGCTGGTAAGAGTCTCCGTCAACACACACCGCAGTCTCTCCAGAAGGCTCAAACCACACACCCACGTGCTGACTCACGAGGGGTCGCACGCCCACCAAGTTCCGGGAGAACGAGGGGACGTGAAACCCAGTGAGAGACCCGGAGGGAGCAGCAGGACACGGTAAAGTGGTAGTGTGACGTGCAGTGACTGGTCCCGTAGTGGGATCAGCCAAAGCCACAGAAACAGGCGCAGGAAGTGGTGTAAGTGTCGTGCTGTCCCGGAAGAAGCAGTGTGAGGCTCCAGAGTCCAGCGTGAACGACAGCGAAGCGTCCTCTGAGGTAGTCGCTGGTCTAGAGTCTACACAAGAACCTACACTAGCAACAGGCAACTGAGCAAGACTAGCACCCAAGCTAACAACACCAGAGTAAACAGAGTCAGAAACACTAGAGTCAACAACAGCATACATAGCATGAGGAGCACCAATCAGATCAACTAACTGCTCAGCAGACATGCCCCACAGAGCGGAGCCGTAGCGCTGAACCAGAGGAAGCCAGTCAAGAGCAGGACCGCCAACCCCGTAGGCCAACCGGACCGTGTCAGTGAGCTGAGCAAAGCACTGACCAGGGGGGTGAAAGCGGCCACAAGGGTGGCCCCGACGAGGACCTGTCAGAACCTGATAGGTGCAGGGAGGGTAAGAAGCACCGCGCTGGGGCTGACGCAGCCCCGACCCCGGAGCCAGCTGCTGACGCTGCTGCTGCTGAGGCTGGCGGGAGGAAAGGGGCTGCTGCTGCTGCTGAAGGTGCTGCTGACGCTGAGCCTGGTACCACGCCGCTGCTCCACCTAGCAGGGTCGGCAGTACAGGAGGCGACTGACGAGCTCGGGGGTCGCCGCCACCAGCAGGCGCAGTGGAGTCACCAGCCGCTGCACGAGGGGTCTCTCCAGACGCTGCACTCCCACCACCGCCAGTCGCAACTGCACCCCCACTACCTCCGCTACCTCCACCTCCACCTCCACCAGAACTACCTTTCTTGCCAACCTTGCCGCGGGACCGCGACGCAGTCGTAACAGCAGCCGCAGTCGCGTCAGTAGCGGCAGTGGCGAGAGAGGCAGTGAAGGTGGGTAACTGCGGGACTGTGCACCCGTGGAAGAGTGGGGGGGACACAGTACCAGAGGCGGCAGCTACCGAGCGAAGGTTGCTCTCGACGTCCTTGAGTGCAGACTCAAGGACCTCGATAGTCAGCTCACTAGGGTGTTTCAGCAGAAGCGCGTCACGAACGGAGGCTAGGCGGTCAGGGAGGCTAGTGGCGATGAAATAGACAGTAATCGCCATGGGGGGAGGAAGCAGTGCAAGCTGTGCCTCAGTGCAAGCAGCGCGGTAACTAGCGTCGAGCGAGCGGAGGTGAGCGATCAAGTCAGCAGAGCGCTCAAACGAGGCGAGATCAGGAAACAGGAACGGGAGGAAAAGACGGCCAAGAGAGACAGTAGCGGGAGTAGAGTAACGGGCCTTAATCGCAGTGAGGTACGCAGCAGCGGTGCGAACCTGAGTAAAGTGGACCTCCTCTGACTCAGGGAGGAGGCTGCTGAGTGCGATGCAGGCCAGGGCGTAGGGTAGGGCGACGGGCCAGGGCGTAGGGTAGGGCGACGGGCCAGGGCGTAGGGTAGGGCGACGGGCCAGGGCGTAGGGTAGGGCGACGGGCCAGGGCGTAGGGTAGGGCGACGGGCCAGGGCGTAGGGACGGGGCAGGGCGACGCGACGGGGCAGGGCGACGCGACGGGGCAGGGTGACGGGACGGGGCAGAGCGACGCGACGGGGCAGGGCGACGGGACGGGGCAGGGCGACGCGACGGGACAGGGCGACGGGACGGGAGGGAAAGGGCGGGCACGACGTGACGGGGGGAACGGGCGCGACGCGACGGGGGGAAAGAGCGCTAGGCGACGGGGGGAAAGGGCGCGACGCGACGGGGGGGGGGGGGGGGGGGGGGGGGGGGGGAAGGGCGCTAGGCGACGGGGAGAAAGGGCGCTAAGCGACGGGGGAGAGGGCGCTAGGCTCGGTACTAGGCGCGGTAACAACGGAACCGGTACGAACGAGAGGTAGGATCAGGCTCGGGAGGGACGAACGGAGAACGGAGGAACGGGATCCCACAGGATCCTAACCTAGCTGATACCATGTCAGAATGAGGAATGATGATGCCATTGATGTTGGTTGGGGTACATATAACAAACCCTAACTTCTGTACCCCCTAAGACAAACCTCACTACAGGCTACAACATTTGACACAATTCTCGCGATATCCTCCCGTAAGGAATCGGACTCGATAACAGCTATAATAGGAATCTATAAGAAAAGGGGGGTGTTATAGAAAATCACCCCAAAAGGGGGGGTATAGTACAAACGGGGTCGGATATAACACCCACCCCGTATTAGCTACCCGGGGGTGTACAATTACGGGGGGGTGTTTTATCCGGGAGAATACGGTATACCGTAACTGCCTCAGCTGTGTTTTGTGCATTCAAGCTAAATCAGCAGCTTGTTATGTAAATAACAGATGTTGCTGCAGATTTCTTAACTGGATAACCACCACCGAGCCCTACCAATTACAACGCAGCCTCTGCAAGTGCCAGTTCAGCAAGGATCCCGTCTCTGACGTCAGCAGGGAGCTTTGCATTGACTCCGCTGCGCATGTAGAAGCGGGAGAGCGTTCTGAGCACAGAGTCGAGAGAGGAGGTGATGATCTGATTGGGGGGGGGGGGGGGGGAAGGAGAAGAGGGAGGAAGGGGTGTGTGGGGAAAGGCAGGGAGGGAATGTGAAAATGGAAAAAGAGGCAGCTTCGTGTTTGATTCTCTGCACTGCGCATGTGGAAGCGGGAGAACGTTCTGAGCAGAGTCGAGTGAGGAGTTGATGGTCTGATTGGGAGAGCGAGGAGGGAAGGAGGGAAGGAGTGGAGGCGGGGGAACGGGGAGGAGAGGGAAACGGCAGCAGAGGGAAAGGGGGTTTAGGGGGAAAGGGGAGGAGGGGAACGAGGGGAGGAGGTTAGGGAGTGAATGTGAAATAGAGGGAGGCTTGCCATTGATTCCCCTGCACCAGGCACGTATAAGCGGGAGAGTGTCGTGAGAGCAGAGTCAATATTTGTGGCGCCTCAAATATAAAGGGAGGCTTGCCAGTGATTCTTCTGCATCAGGCATGTAAAACTGGGAGAGCGTTGTGAGAGCAGAGTCGCGAGAAGGGGTGATGGTGGTGTCGTAGGGAGAGGGAGGAGAAGGGGGAGAGGGAGGAGAGGCGGGGAGAGGGAGGAGAGGCGGGGAGAGGGAGGAGAGGAAGGAAAAGGGGGAAGAGGGCAATGAGGTTCAGACGATTGGGATAGAGTGAGACGAGACGACCACGCTAGGAATTAGGTGAAATAAGCCTTCCTTTCAACCTCTCAACCGTTTCTCCCACGCATCTTCCCACCTTTCCCATCCCCACGCATCTCCCCACCCCCATGTGTGTTCCCCATCCCCGTCTTCCCCACCCCCTGCTCTCACCTCCATACAATCTGCTGCCCAGTGACCTTCCGTCGCCACTCCCCATTAAGTGCGTGAATAAAGAGTTCAGCCATCCCACCTTTCAACTCCTCCACTTGTTCCACCCTCCCCTCGTTCCACCCTCCCCTCGTTCCACCCTCCTCTCGTTCGTTCCACCCTTCCTTCCGGTCCCCTGCACTCACCTCCCCTGCGCTTGGCATTGAATGAACTGCAACTTGTAACCCTTCCGGCGTTCAGTCCAGTCCTTCTTCCCCCATGCATCCTCCACTGTCTCTCCTTCGCTCACCTCCATATAATCTGCTGACGAGAGACCTTCCCCAAACACTCCCCTTAAATACCCACAAGCAGTTCAAAACTCCCCTAGTTTATAACTCAGCTCGTTCAGCCCTCCCCACGTTCAGCCTTCAACTCTCCCCCTGTTCAACCCTCCTCTCAGCGCATACTCCCCCCTTCCCCTGCGCTCACCTCAGTGTTCTCCGGCGCTTTCCCCCGCCACTCCCCCAGGTACGCGCGGATCGCGCCCTTAGCCACGTCCGCCTTGCGCCGGAACTCCCCCCGGTCGCCCTCCTCCGCGCCCAGCGCGTCGCGCAGGCTGCTGATGAGCGCCGTCACGCTCCGCACGTACGCCTTCGGAAGCCGCCGCCCGCTCGCCGTGAGCTCGTCCGAATCGAACGCGGATCGGAGCCCTTTTAGCAGGTCGCTTCCGCCCGCGGCTTCCACCGTTGCGGCGGCGTCCGCGGCGGCGTGCGCGACGGGGGGGACGGCGGGTAGTGGGAGGTACGGGGAGAGGGTGGCGGAAGCCAAGGCGAGGAGTCCGCCCGCGAGCGCGGAGCGTCTGGGGAGGGCTTCGGGGGAAGCGGCGGAAGCGGGAGTGGCGGAAGTGGAGGGGTGGGCGGAAGGTTGGTTTTCCGCCTGCGCTGACGCGCGGATAGGGGCAACGGCGGATGTGCGACTGCGTGTGGCACCATTGGCGGGAGAGACGCGCGCAGCGCAGGCGGAAGAAAGGACTGGCGCGGGGAAAAGGGCGGAGGGTGCGAGTGCAAGCGCGCGAGGGTCCATTTTGGAGTGCTTTTAAATAAGGGTCGAGTGCTCTTGAATGTTCCGAGTCGCCTATCAGGGTGAGGAGAGGAAATCTGCTGCGAAGGGAAATGCACCGAATGGTGTTCCGAAAGGAGGGCGCAATGCGGGGAGCCGGTGCGGCGGAGTCCGCAAGCCCAATGTTCCGAAAGGAGGGCGCAATGCGGGGAGCGCTGGTCCGATGTCCGGCAGCACAAAACGCTGGCTTCTCGGCACGACGTCGGCTGGCAGCTCCGGCGGGAAAAAGCGTCGTCGCGAGCTCGACACGAGCTGCAAATCGCGACGAAAGAACGACCAGGAGTGGCGATGAAAAGATTGGCCTGCTCGGACAGAAGCCGTCGCGATGCAAAATGAGAACGGATTTTGATTCAGAATGAAGCGCCTGAATGGATAAGAGGCGACTATTGCTGACTCAGCTGGAGATTTCTATGATATTCAATTGGGGGGTGGAGTGTGTTCTTTCACAAAATGTTTCGATCCGTTCGGGCAGACACTTAGGTTTCCGGGACAGAGAGTGGTAACTCCGAAGGGACACACGATCTTCGTCAATTCATCCAAACTGGAAAACAATCTCGCGTGTGCTGGTAACAATGTTCGTATCGCACCTACGTACGAAGCCCAATATTTGGCGAAAATCTCAAATCACGAGTTCGCGAGGAGGTTTCGTGAATCAAAACACTACTGTCGCTCTGCGATAGCCCCATCCCCCGGCTGCGAAATTGTGAACCTTCCGCGACGATCAAACTGCGTGCGCGTTCCGTAAAAAAACTTCAACATCACAACCAGCACCATTGAAGCATCGGTTTTTCACATATCGAGTACATCCATGTGGCAGCAAGCAGCAGCAGTGGCGCGTTGATCGTGGCGTGATCCTAGATTCGAGGCCGCTTTCCTTGCCGAGGGGCCAGACAGCAACAGCCGACATTCTTCAATTCGCCGTTCTTCACCTCGTAGCGGCGTTTCCGCGAGTAAAAAAACGTTTCACCGCGATTCATCGACCAGGCCTCCTCATTCGCCGCGTCGCTCACCTATCCCTCGCATTCTCCGTGAATTTCTCGTGTTCCTTGATTTCGGAGGCTCCTAAAACTCTTGTTCCCTCGTCACGCTACGACCCCTCCAAAAGCGGCGCTATGTGCGGCATCGCTCTTGTCGCCCAGCGCCTGCGAACTGTTAGCTGCCGCACGGCAGGGCGTCGCACAGAGAGCGGCTGCGACGGGCCGTGCGACAGCGAGCGATCCAGAGTAAGGGGATGGATTGGATATAAAAGTCTTACTTTTGTGCATAGATCCAAATGTCCCTTCTGTGTGGAAGGAAAAGTGTCTCTTTTGTGTATGGATAAAACTGACGCCTCTGCTTGATTGATTGAGTTAAGGCTTCAGCTTAAGAACGTATGTCTGTCCTCCCCTCTGCGTTCTTCTCATGTCACTGTAACAGGCGTGCTGCTGCCAATCAGGGGACGCCACGTGTAACAGTAATAAAGCCTCTGCAGCACCACACCCCCCTGTGTGTGCTTATAACGAGGTGCCTCAGAGTACCCCCCTGTGCGCTTGTATCGGGTCACCTTCTATCGAGTCTCTTGCCGCTTCTCTCAGCCGCAGGGGCCCTGATCGATCCTCCGCCCTCTCCCTTCAGCTGCCGTTTCCCACCACCACCAATGCCTCTCCACCGCTTCCCACCGCACGCTGTCCCCTCACACGCCTGTCCTTGCTAGCTTCAGTGCTGCAAGTTCGGGGGGAGGGGGAGAGCGTGGGGGGGGGAGGGGAAGCGAAAGAGGGGGAGAGTGTGGGAGGAGGAGAGGGGGGAGGAAGGGGGATGATGAATCACAGGGCGCAGGGTCCCCCTCCCTCCTCTCTCGCGCAGGGTCCTGCAGAGAGGGGGGAGGGTGGTGAAGGGGGGCACGTTGAGTGTGACGGTAGGGTCCACAAAAGTGAGGGAGGAGAGAATGAGGAGGGAGGGGTAAATGAGAAGGGAGGAGAGAATGAGGGAGGACAAAGCGGGTTCAAGCAAGGACAGTGTGAGGCGGCCCAAAGAAAGGGACGGAGTGGGTACCAGGCAGCTGGCCAAGGAATGGGCGGGGAGGCGAGAGGAGGAGAGGGAGGAGAGGGAGGAGAGGTGTCCCAGCCGCTGATGGATCAGCACGGCAATGTCCTCCTATTTAACGGTATAAACAACCCTTATTTTTTCACACTGTCCCAGCTGGAATGATTATATCGCTATTCAACTTAAACCAAAAAAAAAAACAAAAAAAAAACTCACTTTGCAGCGGGTATGTCATGGAATATTGATTCCGCCTTCAGCTGTGTCTTTTCTTCGCTGTCTGATTCTCTGCTCATCGGGACTTTCGCAGGTGAGATATTCGGCGGGCTGCCCGGCCTTCAACCAGAGCAGAACGATGCGCAGTGCCTTCTCTCCGCCCTCTCCTCCTGCTGCTCCTTCCGCTGCCCCACCCCACGTGCCCTTGACACAACCACCAGTGCGGCAAGCATCAAGAATGGTCATAACAGTGCTACCACCACTATCAGTCAACCCCATATCAGCAGCAGCAACATCCCATCAGTTCCTTCCATCTCCTTCTCACAACCTTCCTCCTCCTCTCCTCCCTCCGCCCATCCTGACCAGCCATCCTCCCCTCTCTCCGCCCGTCCAGCCCCCCCCTGCGCCCACCCCCACTCCGTCCCCCGCCTGCTCTCCTCTCTCCGCGGCCCCTTCGCGCTGGCCTATTGGCAGGCGACAGCTGGCACGCTCTGGTTGGCCCGCGACTTCATGGGGCGGCGCAGCCTGCTGTTCCACGGGCCTTGCGTTGAGGGGAATGGGGAGGAGGGGAGAAGGGGGAAGGAAAGAAAGGAGGAGGGTAGAGGGGAGGAGGGAAGGGGAGGGCTGAGCACTTTTGTGGTCAGCAGCGTGTGCCCCTCGCCTCTTCCTCTCGGTCTCTTGAGTGGCGAGAGAGCAAAGAGTGAAGGGCGGACAAGGGAGGGGTCGCTAGGAACTTTGGCTTCTTGCGAGTCGACTCAACAATCCAATCCGGAGAGAGCAGAAATTGACGCGCGGACAGAGGAGGGGGCGTTGGATAGAGCAGAGCGGGCAGGAGAGGGGAGAGTAGAGAGATTAGGTGAGAGATTGGAAAAAGGGGCAAGACTACGAGGAGGGGAAAGTGGTGAAGGAGGGATAGGAGCAGAGGGAGGAGGAGGGGAGGTAGGAGGAAGAAGAAGAGGTGGTGGTGGGAAAGCGGTTGACCAGAGTGGTTTGCCCGAGTTTGGGTTCTGGCAGGAGCTGCCATGCGGGATATACAGCACTGTGCTTCCATCGCGTAGCGCTGCTACTTCACATGCTGCTTCTTTCTCATCTCATAGCGAAGGAGTGAGTGAGGGGTTGAGAGTGAGTGAGGGAGTGAGGGCGAGGGAGGACGAGTGGAAGTGGTTCCGGCATGAGTGGGAGGATGAAACCGTCCAGCGACTGCTGACGTGGCAGCGCCCAATGGCAGCTGACGTGGCAAACCGAGGTGCTGAGCTGGCATCAGATGGCTCTGAGGTGGCGTACTCCGGTATTGAGCTGGCAGCAAGTGATGCGGCTGACTCAGCAGCAGATGCTGTGCTGGCCGCACTGGATAGAGCGGTGGGGATTCGTGTGACGCATATTCGAGAGGAAAGGCACATTGGAAAAGGTATACCCATTGGCCCACTGGACGGACATGGAGCATCGGCAGCACCAGTGGGGGCGTGTGTGCGCAGGGAAGAAGAGGCCGCACCACTGGCAGCACCAGAAGCAGCAGCAGATGTAGCAGCGGTGGCAGGAGATGCGTGCAGGGCGGAGGAGCTGGTAGCAGCAGAGGCAGCAGAGGCAGCAGCAGCAGGACATGCGTGCAGAGAAAAAGAGGAGCAAGTGGCACCAGTGGTGGTGCTGTTCTCAGGGGGACTCGACTCCATGCTGCTGGCGGCCCTGGCTCACCGCCATGTGCCCATCCACCGTGAGTGCATGCGTGCGTGCGTGGGTGCGTGCATGGGTGCGTGCGTGGGTGCGTGCGTGGGTGCGTGCGTGGGTGCGTGCGTGGGTGCGTGCGTGGGTGCGTGCGTGGGTGCGTGCATGGGTGCGTGCGTGGGTGCGTGCGTGGGTGCGTGCGTGGGTGCGTGCGTGGGTGCGTGCGTGGGTGCGTGCGTGGGTGCGTGCGTGGGTGCGTGCGTGGGTGCGTGCGTGGGTGCGTGCGTGGGTGCGTGCGTGGGTGCGTGCGTGGGTGCGTGCGTGGGTGCGTGCGTGGGTGCGTGCGTGGGTGCGTGCATGGGTGCGTGCGTGGGTGCGTACATGGGTGCGTGCATGGGTGCGTGCATGGGTACGTGCATGGGTGCGTGCATGGGTGCGTGCATGGGTGCGTGCATGGGTACGTGCGTAGGTACGTGCATGGGTGCGTGCGTGGATGCGTGCATGGGTGCGTGCATGGGTGCGTGCGTGGGTGCGTGCGTGGGTGCGTGCATGGGTGCGTGCATGCGTGCGTGCATGGGTGCGTGCATGGGTGCGTGCATGGGTGCGTGCATGGGTACGTGCATGGGTGCGTGCATGGGTGCGTGCATGGGTGCGTGCATGGGTACGTGCATGGGTGCGTGCATGGGTGCGTGCATGGGTGCGTGCATGGGTACGTGCATGGGTGCGTGCATGGGTGCGTGCATGGGTGCGTGCGTAGGTACGTGCATGGGTGCGTGCGTGGATGCGTGCATGGGTGCGTGCATGCGTGCGTGCGTGGGTGCGTGCGTGGGTGCGTGCGTGGGTGCGTGCGTGGGTGCGTGCGTGGGTGCGTGCGTGGGTGCGTGCGTGGGTGCGTGCATGGGTGCGTGCGTGGGTGCGTACATGGGTGCGTGCATGGGTGCGTGCATGGGTACGTGCATGGGTGCGTGCATGGGTGCGTGCATGGGTGCGTGCATGGGTACGTGCGTAGGTATGTGCATGGGTGCGTGCGTGGATGCGTGCATGGGTGCGTGCATGGGTGCGTGCGTGGGTGCGTGCGTGGGTGCGTGCATGGGTGCGTGCATGCGTGCGTGCATGGGTGCGTGCATGGGTGCGTGCATGGGTGCGTGCATGGGTACGTGCATGGGTGCGTGCATGGGTGCGTGCATGGGTGCGTGCATGGGTACGTGCATGGGTGCGTGCATGGGTGCGTGCATGGGTGCGTGCATGGGTACGTGCATGGGTGCGTGCATGGGTGCGTGCATGGGTGCGTGCGTAGGTACGTGCATGGGTGCGTGCGTGGATGCGTGCATGGGTGCGTGCATGCGTGCGTGCGTGGGTGCGTGCGTGGGTGCGTGCGTGGGTGCGTGCATGGGTGCGTGCGTGGGTGCGTACATGGGTGCGTGCATGGGTGCGTGCATGGGTACGTGCATGGGTGCGTGCATGGGTGCGTGCATGGGTGCGTGCATGGGTACGTGCGTAGGTACGTGCATGGGTGCGTGCGTGGATGCGTGCATGGGTGCGTGCATGGGTGCGTGCGTGGGTGCGTGCGTGGGTGCGTGCATGGGTGCGTGCATGCGTGCGTGCATGGGTGCGTGCATGGGTGCGTGCATGGGTGCGTGCATGGGTACGTGCATGGGTGCGTGCATGGGTGCGTGCATGGGTGCGTGCATGGGTACGTGCATGGGTGCGTGCATGGGTGCGTGCATGGGTGCGTGCATGGGTACGTGCATGGGTGCGTGCATGGGTGCGTGCATGGGTGCGTGCGTAGGTACGTGCATGGGTGCGTGCGTGGATGCGTGCATGGGTGCGTGCATGGGTGCGTGCGTGGGTGCGTGCGTGGGTGCGTGCATGGGTGCGTGCATGCGTGCGTGCGTGGGTGCGTGCGTGGGTGCGTGCGTGGGTGCGTGCGTGGGTGCATGCGTGGGTGCGTGCGTGGGTGCGTGCGTGGGTGCGTGCATGAGTGCGTGCATGGGTGCGTGCATGGGTGCGTGCGTGGGTGCGTGCATGGGTGCGTGCATGGGTGCGTGCATGGGTGCGTGCATGGGTGCGTACATGGGTGCGTGCATGGGTGCGTGCATGGGTACGTGCATGGGTGCGTGCATGGGTGCGTGCATGGGTGCGTGCATGGGTACGTGCATGGGTGCGTGCATGGGTGCGTGCATGGGTGCGTGCATGGGTACGTGCATGGGTGCGTGCATGGGTGCGTGCATGGGTGCGTGCATGGGTGCGTGCGTGGGTGCGTGCGTGGATGCGTGCATGGGTGCGTGCATGGGTGCGTGCGTGGGTGCGTGCGTGGGTGCGTGCATGGGTGCGTGCATGCGTGCGTGCGTGGGTGCGTGCGTGGGTGCGTGCGTGGGTGCGTGCGTGGGTGCATGCGTGGGTGCGTGCGTGGGTGCGTGCGTGGGTGCGTGCATGGGTGCGTGCATGGGTGCGTGCATGGGTGCGTGCGTGGGTGCGTGCATGGGTGCGTGCATGGGTGCGTGCATGGGTGCGTGCATGGGTGTGTGCATGGGTGCGTGCATGGGTGCGTGCCTGGGTGTGTGCATGGGTACGTGCATGGGTGCGTGCATGGGTGCGTGCGTGGGTGCGTGCGTGGGTGCGTGCGTGGGTGCGTGCATGGGTGCGTGCATGGGTGCGTGCATGGGTGTGTGCATGGGTGCGTGCATGGGTGCGTGCCTGGGTGCGTGCATGGGTACGTGCATGGGTGCGTGCGTGGGTGCGTGCGTGGGTGCGTGCGTGGGTGCGTGCGTGGGTGCGTGCATGGGTGCGTGCATGGGTGCGTGCATGGGTGCGTGCGTGGGTGCGTGCGTGGGTGCGTGCATGGGTGCGTGCGTGGGTGCGTGCATGGGTGCGTGCGTGGGTGCGTGCATGGATGCGTGCATGGGTGCGTGCATGGGTGCGTGTGTGGGTGCGTGTATGGGTGCGTGCATGGGTGCGTGCGTGGGTGCGTGCGTGGGTGCGTGCATGGGTGCGTGCGTGGGTGCGGGCATGGGTGCGTGCGTGGGTGCGTGCATGCGTGCGTGCATGCGTGCGTGCGTGGTGCGGGCATGGGTGCGTGCGTGGGTGCGTGCATGCGTGCGTGCGTGGTGCGTGCGTGGGTGCGTGCGTGGGTTCGTGCATGGGTGCGTGCATGGGTGCGTGTGTGGGTGCGTGCGTGGATGCGTGCGTGGGTGCGTGCGTGGGTGCGTGCGTGGGTGCGTGCGTGGGTGCGTGCGTGGGTGCGTGCGTGGGTGCGTGCGTGGGTGGGTGCTGGGGTGCGTGCATGGGTGCGTGCATGGGTGCGTGCGTGGGTGCGTGCGTGGGTGCTTGCGTGGGTGCGTGCGTGGATGCGTGCATGGATGCGTGCATGGGTGCGTGCATGGGTGCGTGCATGGGTGCGTGCATGGATGCGTGCATGGGTGCGTGCATGGGTGCGTGCATGGGTGCGTGCATGGGTGCGTGCGTGGGTGCGTGCGTGGGTGCGTGCATGGGTGCGTGCATGGGTGCGTGCATGGGTGTGTGCGTGGGTGTGTGCATGGGTGCGTGCGTGGATGCGTGCATGGGTGCGTGCATGGGTGCGTGCGTGGGTGCGTGCATGGGTGCGTGCGTGGGTGCGTGCATGGGTGCGTGCATGCGCGTGTGCGTGGAGCGTGCGTGGGTGCGTGCGTGGGTGCGTGCATGGGTGCGTGCATGGGTGCGTGCATGGATGCGTGCATGGGTGCGTGCATTGGTGCGTGCGCGCATGTGCATGGGCCCACCGCCACGTGCCCATCCACCGTGAGCCATATTTTCTGTCAACTTGTTTACATTCTTCTATTTCTCTACTGGTTTCTATCTAAAAATAAAAAACAATGCTGTTATTGTGATGATGATGATGATGATGATGATGATGATGATGATGATGATGATGATGATGATGATGATGATGATGATGATGATGATGATGATGATGATGATGATGATGATGATGATGATGATGATGATGATGATGATGATGATGATGATGATGATGATGATGATGATGATGATGATGATGATGATGATGATGATGATGATGATGATGATTAGTGTACCATTATTTATGCATTTATTCTTTATTATTATGATCATCATTATTATTAAAATAATATTGTTGCTATTATCTTTTTTATTATTATTATTTTTACTCCCCTACCAACTCCTGACAAGCCTGTCCATTGCAATTTTTGCTGAATCGTAGGGAGATGTCACTCCGGACCTCCTCCTCCTCCTCCTCCTCCTCCTCCTCCTCCTCCTCCTCCTCCTCCTCCTCCTCCTCCTCCTCCTCCTCCTCCTCCTCCTCCTCCTCCTCCTCCTCCTCCACCTCTTCCTTATTCCTCTTTTTCCTGCTTCTGCTTCTCTTATTTCTTCTCCTCCTCTCCCACCCACATCCTCCCTTCCCTCCACCACAGGACCCATCGAGCTGCTGAATGTGAGCTTTGCCGGGGCAGCAGCACCGGACAGGCAGACAGCGAGGATGGGAGTGAGGGAGCTGGTGCGAGCATGCGAGGGGAGGAGGTGAGTGAGACAGGGTATTGATGGCATAGTGGATTCGGGTCTTTCCCTGCTGTGACCAGGTGGCGTCTGGTGCAGGTGGCATCTGGTGCAGGTGGATTTGAGTCTTCCGCTGCTGGAACCTGACTTCTCTATCAGCCCCTTTTCCGTTTACTTGCGGTGCAGGTGGCATCTGGTGGAGGTGGATTCGACCCTCTCAGAAGTGGATCAAGTCAAAACGCACCTGCTCTCCCTGCTCTGCCCATCCCACACGCACATGGTAATCCCACTCACACCAACATGGTATGTCTGTGACACACATGGTAAGTCATGACGCACACCCATTCGACCCTCTCAGAGGTGGTTCAAGTCAAGAGACACCTGCTCTCCCTGCTCTACCTGCTCTGCCCCTCCCACACTCACATGACATGTCTGTGTTTTGCTCTGCCCATCCCACACACACATGGTAATCCCACACCAGCATCCTATGTGCCACTTGGTCATCATCCCACATGCTATGTGCCACTTGGTCATCATCCCACATGCTATGTGCCACTTGGTCATCATCCCACATGCTATGTGCCACTTGGTCATCATCCCACATGCTATGTGCCACTTGGTCATCATCCCACATGCTATGTGCCACTTGGTCATCATCCCACATGTTATGTGCCACTTGGTCATCATCCCACATGCTATGTGCCATGCCATGTTGTGTTTTATCATGTTCTGACTGACACAGCTACACATGACATGACCACTGGCCCACTCACTGGTTTGCCAAACCTGGGTCACTCACTGGCTTGCGGAACCTGGGTCACTCACTGGCTTGCCGAACCTGGGTCACTCTCTGGCTTGCCGAACCTGGGTCACTCACTGGCTTGCCGACCTGGGTCACTCACTGGCTTGCCGAACCTGGGTCACTTTCTGGCTTGCCCCCCCGCCCCCCCGTGCTCCCAGGACCTCAACATTGGTGCGGCACTGTGGCTTGCTGCTAGAGGGGAGGGCAGGATGATACGCTATGGGGGGGAGGGGGAAGGCGATGGGGAAGAGGAGGAAGAGGTGTGCAGAGCTGTGATGGGGAGTGCGGAGGTGTACAGAGCACATGCGCGGGTGGTGTTCGTGGGGACGGGTGCAGATGAACAGTGCGGGGGCTATGCTCGCTACAGGACAAAATTCCGACAAGGAGGGTGAGAGGGGTGGGGAGGGGGGTAAGGCTTAAGGGAAGGGTGTGTACGTACCTCATCTCCCCCTTCCCGTCCTTCCTCCCTCCCTTCCCCAGCTGGCCATCCCTGGAGAGCGAGATGAGGGAGGACGTGTGTCGCTTGTGGCACTAGTGGCTCCTCTCACTCCTCTCACTCCTCTCACACATGCACACACACACTCACACACACTCACACACACACACACACACACACGCACACACACACCGTGTACCCTGTGCATGTGTTTCATCTCCCACCACCTTTCCTTCCCCAGCTGGCCATCCTTGGAGAGCGAGATGAGGGACGACGTGCAGCGCCTGGGGCGCCGCAACCTTGGACGGGACGACCGGTGCGTTTTGGACCATGGCAGAAAAACCTGCTCCTTTAGTCAGAGGAGTGAGATGCGCCTCATATCTTCCCTTTCTTCGTCCCTCCCTTCTTCCCCAGCTGGCCATCTCTGGAGAGTGAGATGAGGGACGACGTGCAGCGCCTGTGGCGGCGCAACCTGGGCCGGGACGACCGGTGCCTCTCGGACCACGGGAGAGAGGTGAGGTGCGCTTGTTTGATCTCCTCACCCGTAAACTTCTTTGTAGTCGACTCGAGAATCGCAACCCGGGACCGGACGACCGGTGCCATGCCAGTCGGTCCACGGCAGAGAGGTGCGGTCTGTTGATCATCACAGGTGCGCTCATGTTTTGATCAGCCTGGACCGGGCCGACAGGTGCTCTAAGTGACTTTTGAGTCGACTCAAAAGTCATCTTTCGATCATCACAGGTGCGCTCATGTTTTGATCAACCTGGACCGGGCCGACAGGTGCTTTAATGTGTTGGTCGGAGTATCTGGCGTCTCGAAGCTCTCTCTGTCCGGTCTTGGTCGGAGTATCTGGGGGGTGGGTGGTTGATCAGCTGAATTGAGGTTTGCTCTAGTTTTCATGCGATCTCACATCTCTCTCTTGGTCACATTTTCCGGTTAAAACTGACCGTTGCGTGTGAGACCACAGGAGACAGATGTGCTTGTTGGTTCCCACTTCTTGCTCTTGCTTTGGACATGCTACCTGCTCCTTTTTCTCCTCGCAACCCCCTTTCTCTGGCCCACATTTACAAAGTAAAACAAGCTGTTCGAGATCCCCAATCCTGCCTCTCATTCACCAGCTCATCCCATTTTGAGAAGTCTCAAAAACGACTTCAAACCTTTTCTGCACTGTCCTCTTTGCGCCCGCTGTCACCAGCCACGCTTCCCCTTTTTGGACGAGGGAGTGATGAGCGCGCTGCTGGCCCTCCCTCTGCCTCGCATCGCCAACCTGCACCTCCCTCCGGGCACAGGAGACAAGCTCATACTGCGGCAGGTGAGAGCTAAAATCAAGACAAACACGAGGGATTAATGAGTTGAGAGCTAAAATCAAGACAAACACGAGGGATTAATGAGTTGAGAGCTAAAATCAAGACAAACACGAGGGATTAATGAGTTGAGAGCTAAAATCAAGGCAAACACGAGGGATTAATGAGTTGAGAGCTAAAATCAAGACAAACACGAGGGATTAATGAGTTGAGAGCTAAAATCAAGGCAAGCACGAGGGATTAATGAGTTGAGAGCTAAAATCAAGACAAACACGAGGGATTAATGAGCTGAGAGCTAAAATTAAGGCAAACACGAGGGATTAATGAGTTGAGAGCTAAAATCAAGACAAACACGAGGGATTAATGAGTTGAGAGCTAAAATCAAGGCAAACACGAGGGATTAATGAGTTGAGAGCTAAAATCAAGACAAACACGAGGGATTAATGAGTTGAGAGCTAAAATCAAGACAAACACGAGGGATTAATGAGTTGAGAGCTAAAATCAAGACAAACACGAGGGATTAATGAGTTGAGAGCTAAAATCAAGACAAACACGAGGGATTAATGAGTTGAGAGCTAAAATCAAGACAAACACGAGGGATTAATGAGTTGAGAGCTAAAATCAAGACAAACACGAGGGATTAATGAGTTGAGAGCTAAAATCAAGACAAACACGAGGGATTAATGAGCGCACTGTTGGCTCTCGCTCTCCCTCGCATCACCAACCTGCACCTCCTTCCGGGCACAGGAGACAAGCTCATATTGCGGCAGGTGAGAGTTACAGTCGATATGAAAGATGAGGGAGTTGTTTCAGAACCTGAGCAAGTGATGGGAAGGAAGCGCGTTCTGATTCTTTCTCTGCCTCTCGTGCGTCTCTCTCCGGGCATGGTGACTTTTGAGTCGACTCAAAAGTCACTAAGTCACCTCAAAAGTCTTTTGAGTCGACTCAAAAGTCACCAAGTCACCTCAATAGTCTTTTGAGTCAACTCAAAAGTCTCTCCGGGCATGGGATACAGATGGTGCTTCGACAGGTGACACACGAGAAGGTATACAATACATTGTTCCAGCTCTCATGTCCCTGGGTAAGAGACAGTTGGTGGGTAAGAGTAAGTAAATTATCAGTTGTTCTAGTTCTCATATCCTTGGTGAGTCACAGGTTACTTTCTAACCCAGAACCACTGTGCTGACTGACCCTGGTGCAACATGGCGGTGACGCTGATGTGATATTGTGTTTAGGGTTTAGGGTCACCGCGATGTTACATTGTTGTGACCGAGGCCTTTCATACCACAGTGGATAGAACTTCTGACCCTTTTTAATCTCATCAACCTCTTTTTATCATCTAATCATCCTTGACAGATTGCTCGCAAGCTGGGTCTGACAGGAGCTGCTGCATTGCCCAAACGAGCCATTCAGGTATGCCATGCATTTTCTGCTACAGCTGAGTGTTTCTGGGATTCTTTAACACCTTGGTATATTTCTTCCGTTCATACATGTGAATGATTCGATGCTCGTATGTTGCTTCTGATTGCATGTTTGTTTTTTTCCGTACACTGTCTGCTTGCAATCTCTTATTCTTCTTGTTCACATTCATGAATTGATTTATACCCACATTGTATACATTCCAGTTTGGTTCACGCATTGCAAAGGAGGCCAATAAGAGGGACTTTGGAAGCAATCGAGCTGCCAATCTGGTAGCAGTTGGTGAAAGATCCATTTTTGTTGACACCGAATCGAGTCCAACGCAATGACATGAAATTTGAATCTATCAACCGACTGTTGTTGGAACTTACGTTTGACATGAAATATGCATATATCAAGAGTCAATCAAACATCAGAAGCATTTGAAAAAGCCATGTTATGTTTTTTTGGATAGAGGAAGTTCAATCTCACTCATTCATGTTGATATTTCTGAGCATCTTGAGTGGATGACAAAGTTTACAGGTAAGTTTCTAGGAACGGATAATTGACACCAGGTCCCCAAAGTTCAGGCTTTCTATGCATACTAAAGGTGTAAGGCACCTTAAATGTAAGGTTTCCCCAAGGTTTCAGGCACCTTTCAGTCCCCAAGGTTTTAGGCTTTCTGAGTTGTAAGGTGTTTCTGTGCCTAGATGTATCTGGCACTGTGTAATTGCAAATTCTCAGCATGATTCTGTGCTGCAACTGATTAAAACCAGAATAGAAAATAATGAACCCTGTCCCAACTTGAAATGGTGCTCCAGAGAACGGGCCGATAGAGCACTGTTCCAAAGAAAACGAGCAGGGGCTTGAACACATGTGATTGGCTTTCGCCAATTTTGTGCTGTCTTGTTCCCGCCAAAATGTTTTTCCATCCGGATCTCCCTCGTCGCACATTTTCGTGCTACACCTGCACGACGGTTGCCTGGCGATGGTTTCCGTCGCCAGGCCAACGTTGGTTTCAAGTTGGAACTGGGTTTCATGACCACCTGCTCACCATCCCGAAGTCACTAGTTATATTCCTAGCATATTTTAGCTGGCAACAATATGTGTTTGTGGCCAAGGTAGGTATCGCGCTCGACCCTCCAGGAATGCGTAAGACTGTCGCGTAGCATAGTATCGTAAGAATTTCCCCTCCGCAGGCTTTCGTTACCTTTCCGCATGGGCTAGTTTCCTGTATCGCGCCTTCGCCATCGCGCTTTCGCCCGATGTCCGTTCCCCTCCCATCACCTTCGCGGGTCTCTCTCCCCCCCCCCCCCCCCCCCCCGTCGCCTTCTATCTTCCCTCCCTCCCCGTCACCCTCGCTCTCCCCTCCCTTCCTGCCGACAAGTTTTCTCCCTGTCGCCTTTCCCATAGTTGTCCTCGTCGACGGTTGCTAAATCAAAACGTAACATTCAAATTGACGTCAATCTTCTTGTTCATGTACCAAAACATTGATTATGTAGTTGCAGATGATTTGATTGTCAGATTATCATAGCTGATGCATGTTTGTAGGCTATAGTGGGGTAGCACATATGGGGTACAGCTTTCTAGGGTTGTATTTGTACCCAACTCTGACTTAGTCATTTCATTCCTGTTTTCCTTGCTTCACATGGTATAGAGCGGGTCCTGCCTTAGGACCGTTTTTTTAGGGCCCACCGAAGCGCGCCCCGAGGCGCGCCCTTTTTTTTTAGCGACCCCTCGGGTCGCCTTTTCCCTCGCGGCCCCGCTGTCCCTCAGACGCGGCCCCGCCACCTCTCCTGATCGCGGCCCCGCCGCCTGCTTGATCGCGGCCCCGCCGCCTGCTTGACGCGGCCCCGCCGCCTCCCCTGACGCGGCCCCGCCGCCTCCCCTGAAGCGGCCCCGCCGCCTCCCCTGACGCGGCTCCGCCGCCTCCCCTGACGCGGCCCCGCCTCTACTGCCGCGGCCCCGCCGCCGCCTCTGACGGCCCCGCCGCTGCACCCTACGGCCCGCCGCTGCACCCTACGGCCCGCCGCCTCTGACGGCCCCGCCGCTGCACCCTCGGCCCGCCGCTGCTCCTGCCGGCCCGCCGCCTCACCTGACGGCCCCGCCGCTGCTCCTGCCGGCCCGCCGCTGCTCCTGCCGGCCCGCCGCTGCACCTGCCGGCCCGCCGCTGCACCCAGCGGCCCGCCGCTTCACCTGACGGCCCCGCCGCTGCACCTGCCGGCCTGCCGCTGCACCCTACGGCCCGCCGCCTGCACCTGCCGGCCCGCCGCTGCACCTGCCGGCCCACCACTGCACCTGCCGGCCCGCCGCTGCACCTGCCGGCCCGCCACTGCACCGGTCGACCCGCCGCTGCACCTGACGGCCCCGCCCCTGCATCTCCCGGCCGAGCCGCCCCAGCAGCGGAACCGCCCGGGAGCCGAGCCGCCCAACGCCGAGCCGCCCGGGACCCGAGCCGCCCTGCCGCCGAGCCGCCCGGGAGCCGAGCCGCCCTGCACCCGAGCCGCCCAGCCGCCGAGCCGCCCGGGAGCCGAGCCGCCCTGCGCCCGAGCCGCCCAGCCGCCGAGCCGCCCGGGAGCCGAGCCGCTGTGCACCCGAGCCGCCAGGTCGCTGAGCCGCCTTTCTGCATAGCTGCACGACCTGCCCTGCCTGGTGAGCACAGTCCCACTGACACTGCGAGCTCTTTCCCTACTGCTTGCACTGCGTCGCTGTCGCCGCCATGGCTACCCCTAGTGTCCTAGCTTTTGACGCTGAGGGTCGCGCCATTGATTTTGAGGTCTGGTTAGACGACCTGCAGCTGTTCTTACAGTTTGACAGGGCTGACGACCTTTCTCTCTTTGACCTCACCTCTGGCGCCTCTCCTGCCCCTGCTGCTGATGCTGATCCCGCTGTCCGCTCTAAGTGGGCCACCCGCGATGCTGCTGCACGTCTTGCTGTGCGTCGCCACCTCCCTACCTCTGAGCGTGCGCACTTTAGTCAGTACAAGAGTGCTCAGACCTTGTACGACGCTGTAGTTGCGCGCTACTCCTCCCCTGCCACTGCTGCACTGAGCCGTCTCATGCTTCCCTACCTCTTTCCTGACCTCTCTGCCTTTCCCACTGTCGCTGACCTCATTACACACCTCCGCACTAGTGACACTCGCTACCGCGCCGCCCTTCCTGCTGAGTTCTACGCTAAGAACCCCCCCCCCATGTACATCGCTCTCTACTACGTAGTCCCGCGCCTCCCTGACTCCCTTCGCGTCGTCAGGGACCACTTTCTTGCAGTCTGTCCCACCACCCTCACCGTCGACCTCCTCGAGAAGGCCCTCCTCGCAGCGGAGAAGAGCATAGTCGCTGTAGGTGCTTCTCGTGGTGACCCTCGCACCCCCATCTTTGAGGGGTGCTCTCCTTCCCCCTTGCTGCCCTCTGTTGCCTCTGCTGCTGCTGCCGACGTGCTTGGTCTTGAGCCGGTCGGCGCGGCGTCTGCCCCTAGTGGGAGACGTCGCTCCAGCAAGGGCAAGGGGGGCAAGGGCGCGGGTGGAGCTGGAGGGGGCGGTGGCGGTGGCGGCGGTGGCGGCGGAGGGAGTGGGGGTGGCGGCGGGACTAGTGGCGGAGGTGGTGGTGGTGGTGGCAGCAGTGGCGGAGACGGTGGTGGTGGTACCAGCGGTGGTGGTGGAGGCAGCGGCGGTGGTGGAGGCGGCGGAGGTGGAGGCGGTGGAGGCGGTAGCGGAGGAGGCGGTGGTGGTGGTGGAGGTGGAGCTGGTCGAGGTGGTACCCAGCAGCGTAGCGGCGGTGGTGGTGGCCAGCGCTCGCAGCGGCAGCAGCAGCAGCGCTCGCGGGACATCCCTCCGCCTCAGCAGCTTCGTGAGTGGTATGCTGGGCGTCAGAGGGGTGGGGGTACTGGTCCCTGCACCTACGTTCTTCGTTCCGGCGACCGCGCGGGTGAGCAGTGTGGGGGTGCCCACGCCACCCAGCGCTGCTTTGGCCGCCTGACGGACGCTTGGCGTCAGCAGTTCCCTGGGGCTAGTGAGATCCCTCGCTGGGATGAGCTTCTCAGGGCTGGTGTAGCGATCTTTGATCTTGATTTTGATGCTATCCTTGCTGCTATGTATGTTGTGGATTATAGTGAGGAGAATGAGGGTTACCGTTGTTTCCAGCCCGACCCGGGCATTGGTACTGCTGCGCTAGGTGCGTGTGAGGCTGCTGCTCTAGGTGCCAGTTCGTCTGTGCTCTCAGGTACTGGTGAGACTGCGCTCTCAGGTACTGCGTCGTCCTCGTCCTCCCTCACTTTCACACTTGACTCCGGAGCTTCTCGCTCCTTCTTTCGAGACCGCACTACCCTTACGCCGCTCGGCCGGCCGGTTGCGGTCTCCCTTACTGACCCCTCTGGGGAACCTGTCCTGTCTCACTTCTCCACTGTCCTCCCGTGTCCGGCTGCCCCTTCGGGCACCCTGTCGGGTCTGTACCTTCCCTCGTTCTCTACGAACTTGGTGAGTGGAGCGGACCTGCAGGATGTGGGGGTTCACCAGTTCACTCCTGCGAGTCAGCGGGTGACCCACTGCACGGAGGCACGCACAGGCCGACACCTGGCCACGTTCTCGCGTCGGCCGGGGTCGAGTCTCTACACCTTGACCGTTGAGTCTCCTCCTGTCCCTGCGTCTGGTCAGGTGGCTGCGTCGGGTCAGGTGCTTGCTGCTGCGTCCCGGTCAGGTCCTGAGTCTGCCCCCTATTCTTGTCGCCTCCTGTCTCACGAGACTCTCCTGTGGCACCACCGTCTTGGCCACCCCTCCTTGCCCCGTCTTCGAAGCATGGCTTCCCGTGTCCTTGTCTCTGGTCTTCCCCAGTCTCTCCCTCCTCTCCCCTCCGGGCCGGGACCTTCCTGTGTCCCCTGTGTCGAGGGTCGCCTCCGGGCTACTCCTCACTCCTCCCACTTCCCCCCGACAGAGGCTCCCCTGCAGACGCTTCACATGGATGTGTGGGGCCCAGCCCCCGTCCGTGGGCAGGGTTACGAGCGCTACTTCCTGTTGGTGGTTG